ATGTTTAGTTAAGCTGCGGAAATCACTTGCCGATCATAATCTTGACAAACTCTTCATAATTGATTTGCCCGTCGCCATCAACATCGGCCTCCCTAATCATCTCATCAACTTCCTCATCAGTCAGTTTCTCGCCAAGGTTTGTCATGACATGGCGCAGCTCGGCAGCAGAGATGAACCCGTTCTGGTCCTTGTCAAAAACACGGAATGCCTCCTTGAGTTCCTCTTCAGAGTCGGTGTCCCTCATCTTCCTGGCCATAAGGTTCAAAAATTCCGGGAAATCAATGGTTCCATTACCGTCAGCATCCACCTCGTTTATCATATCCTGGAGCTCTGCCTCTGTGGGATTCTGCCCCAGAGATCTCATCACAGTTCCCAGCTCCTTGGTCGTAATGCAACCTGCACAAAACATCGTTAAAAACTAGTGTAAACACTGCTCAGATTTCTTAATCTGGCATACTGTCAAGTCTGTTATTATCCATGATCTGATTCAAGCATCAAACACAATAAACTGATCAAATATCATGTATAAACCTCATGTAAAGTTGCAGACTCCAAAAGCCTATTTTTCCATTATAGCAATTCATTCATCTATTTGGCTGATCTGCTAAAATTCTTAATCTAGCCACCAGTTAAAATGTAACAGACTTAAATGAAATAACCCTTCAATTAATTTGCTCATTAGCAAATTGAATCCTTTCACCAATGAAATTACTTTGTGATTTGTTAACAACTAGGGATTTTTGCAGATGATCAAGAAATAATCCAATATTATCTTCATCTAACAGCAAAAAGATGGGATTTCAAGAACTCGTAAACTTCAAACAGGGATAACAAGTAAACAATCCAGGATACGCCGTCGCTTCATAAACAGTACGAACCATTTATCTCTCTCCCTCGATGGCTCGACAAGACTGGCTAACCTATGCCTTTTACGAGTAGAGACAAAGAACAAACGCAAATACCAATGTAAATAAGGGATACGTGTCCCATGCTACTCGAATAATTGAACGTGTAAACCTGTCTACTATTATTAACTCCTGCAGATTTCTCCTTATCACATCCATAGATCCAACTACATCATTTACCTCATTTTAGAATGTATGTCAAGAAAAAGCTTAACTATGGGAAGAGAAAAGAACTGAGAATGCATATGGTTCATATTCCGATTAAATATACATATATGTTTTCCCATGTTATTCCAACAAATTCATGACTCTAACATTATCGCATCACATTTATTATCATCCTTTCCATTTTCCAATGAAATCGAAGATCGGAATTAGAAAAAGTGTCCTGAATGAAAGATCAACAAACCTATACTTGACTTCATTTTCAAATGCAAAAGAAAGAGAAGTAAGTTTCATTAGTAGAAAAGTAACCTGAACAATGTTTCACAAATGTAAATATATCTCACTCCTTTCTTGATAACTGACTTCTTCTCTCGAGAACTTCACTTGGGATCCAGATTTTTGCACTGATTATACAAGAACTAAGTATTTTCATCAAATTTCAAAACTGTAAAAGTATTCTGTTCAGATAAATGACCTAAAATCAAAC